ATATATATATATATATTAATTAATTAGTTATGATACATTAAAAAGTTCATAAAATATTATATATATATATGTTAAAAAAGTCTGTTCTATTCTCATTTCAACTATATTTAAATTGGGATCAAACAACTATAAATCATTATAATTCTGATATTTAAAAAACTATCATCGTGTAAACAAAAGGTGAATCTGAAATACTGGATCAGTATCCCACCCATAGAGTCAATGCAGAACAACTTTTTAAATAAAGAGTAACAAAATAAGAAGACAACATCACAATTTGATTCTATATAATAAGATTTATTTCCAATAAAAGTATCATAGTAACAATCTCTTTTTAACCAAAAACTTAAGCAGCATATATACATATATCAAAAATTATCTGAGTCATTTTACTAAACTTTTGTGATAACTATTGTGTTAATAGTTAAGTTCACAAGTAAGAATTACAACAAAAGTAATTAAAAACAAGTTTTCTTTTTACACGATTATGTCAGCTGGAATAAAAATTTGTTTATAACCTCAAATTTATTTTTTTTCATGTACTAAAATTTATTCTTTCTTCCATTTGTTATAAAAATTCAGAATAGATTTCTGAAACTGTTAGGGAAACTTGTAAAAATTTAAATTGGTATTGTTGTTTCAAATGTTTATAAAAATAAACAATAACAATATAATAATAGTTTTCTAAATTGAAGTGCAAATTTCAATTAGGAAAAGAAAAATTTTGATAGAAACTTATAACCTCTTTCCAGTTGTTCAAAATCACATTAGTTTATTAATATAACTCAAATAATTATATAAATTAACTAATAATCTTTTTAAACTAAATCCATTTATTTACAATAAATGTTCATTGAGAATCTATTTGCAGTTTTTCCATACAATCATCCTTTAATGAACCAGAGTGACTGGGAGGCCCTGAAGGTGGAGATACAGAAATACGACGATGCTCAGGCATCATTTTTGATGATGTTTCTGATAACATAGTATGATCTGATTGTGGTGCTTGATTCAAAATACCTGACATTCTTTCTGGTAATGATTGACCTAGAACAAGAATAATAGTCATTTAACATTAAATAACTCCATGATTTTTTAAAAATTATATAAATTACATTATAACTTCCTTATTCTACAAATAACTTCATTTAAAAATGTCAAATTTTTAAACACATAAACAAAGAATTTTAAATTATTATTATGTCATCAGATAACATATGACAATATACAATGGACATGTAATTGATATTACTAATTTTCATTTTTAATAAATTATAAGATGAACTCTCGAAATAAAACATTTTAAACTTGATATCTCAGATACCAAAACATTTGAAATCCTCTAATAAAATTCAGTTAAATGTTATCCAAATTTAAAAACATATTACATCTCATAAATATAACTATTTTCTTTAATGCTGACATTCTAGCATCTTTCAGTACATAATAATGTTCATCTTCAAAAACATTGCATTTAGGGTTCCTAAAAGTGATGAGCATTGCTTGTTCAAAGGCCTAGACTGCTAATAATAATTTTCTTAAATTTCAAACTGCTTTACAAACTGACTTTTATCTAAATTTATTTTGATTAAACTGTGTTATAAGTCCGTTTTTTTCTACCATAAGGATCATACATCATAAACTTCACATTGCTACAAATCTGCCTTACATTTTTGGGTCAGTCAGCTTGGTGCCTTTCACTGTGTGAACTGGGTCTTAGTTTCAAGGCCTCCCCATAACTTTTTCAACTTCTTGTATGTTTCTTTGTACAATTTCACTAAGCTTTTGGCAAAATCCAATGCCAATTTTTTTTTTGCTAGATTTTTTGGTCATAACTAATGACATGCCTGACATTTACAGGTAAGGGTCATGCATTATCAAGCAACGGCATTCTGTCAGTAAGGAGGCATGGATGTTTTAATCTGATTGCACAAAGTAGTGGTTGGAGCATATCATAGCAATTTGCCATGTTGGATCATTATGGAAAAATTTCAATTAAAAGTCATTCTGACAGTAAAAAAATTATATTAATATATCCTTTTGTTTGCTTTATTGAAAGGCTTTCAACTTTTTCTATGGCCATTGATAGGTTGCTGGTTTATAACTTGGTCTCTGTATTAATATAATTCAATGAGAATTTTCAATGGCTGAGTGAGACTCTAGTTCTTGGTATTTGTATTGGAATTATTCACTGTCATGTAAACTCATAACTTTCAGTATTCAAATACCTAGCACAAATTCTTGGAAACAATGAGAAATTTTTACAATCAAATAGTTCTTGCAACCAAATGTTTCCACTTTTAATTGGAATTACTTTAAATTAAACCTTGTAATAAAACTTTTTTGCACAAGTTAAATTATTTTATTATAAAAAATGAACATAACTAACATTTAACTTGTATAATTTAAAGATTAAAAAACCCAGTTTAAAATGGAAACCTGCTACAACAAAAATAATCTAATATCATGCAATTCTGATTTACACAAGTTTTAGATAGGATACTTTAATTACAATTACCTTGCATCCCAGTAATGCTATCCTGATCCATTGGAAGTCCTTGTGAAACAGATAAAAGGGCTGCCATTGGATTTGACTGGATAGAATCCATATCTGCTGTTTCCTTTAAAGGCTGATTATATTCCTAAATTAAAAATAACAGGCAAAATTAGTTTATACAAAAAAATAATTTTTTAATTTATAACAAGAAAAATAAAAAATAAAGACACTGAAATCCAACAGCTTGTCTATAAAAACATTTTTAAAAAATTTAGCAAATTTTGTTCACTAAAAATTTTTTATGAATGATATTAAGAGATTATTATTATTATATCATGCAATACTAACTATATTTACTAATTTAAAATATCTTAGACCCCACTATTAACACATTTCATTTTACTTTATATATAACTTATATACACAGATTTCATGTTGTATATAAAGTAAAGCTTAATTATATTAAAAGAAATTAATTTATTCAAAATTTTTCTTTGTACAAAAAAAATTATTAATGAAGTAAAACCAAATAGTTATTACCCCTTCAAACAATAATCCTTATTTTTTCTGGATTAGGAAAAGTAAAGATTTTGTTTGTTTGTCTTATTTATTAGTTTTCCTGTTATGATAATTTTCAAATAAATTTGTATTTGGAAAATAGTTCTGATTAGACGTATATAGTCTGTTATGGTTGTGAGCTGTTTTATTAGAATGCTGTCACAGAAGAAAAGAAAGAAACATCAGGATCTATTTGCTGTTTTCCCCCATTATCATCATGCTCATCTTATAATTGAAGTTTTCGACTATTCACAAAAATATCAAATTTTCGAGTCTATCTTGTTGTATAAAAAAGGATTAAGATAGACTCGAAAATTTGATATTTTTGTAAATAGTCGAAAACTTCAATTATGAAGAATTATATCCTGAGTTATTACAGAAATTGTATGCTCATCTTATATGATGATCATAATAATGTCAGAAAATGAACAAGATAAAAAAAATCCCATCTCTGCAAGATAATCATATTTTGCTAAAGGAATTTTGACATTTCTGTTCACTGAATTTCATTTTTCAATCATATTTTAAACTATGTGACCTGAAAAATTTTTGTAATTTTTGAAATTATTTACCTATGCATTTTATACAATATCATATATTTGTAATAAATATCATAAATATAAATTTTTTAGTCAGTCAATGTAAATTATATTTCTCATAATGTTTTTAATATAATAGAATGCCCAAATTAATCATCTATTTATATTTTAAAATTATGCATATTTACATTAAATTAATAAAGATGTACAGTTTTCAACACAGTGTGCCTCATATTTTGAATTTAATTCATTCCAGGTGGTTATTCAAATTCCAAATAAAATTTTTTCATAAAAAATAATGGAAAGTGAATTAATTCATTTCTCGACCATTTCAATAACTTAAAACATCAAATACACATAATTTAAAGGTAAAAATAACACAATTAAATGCTCTAATAATAAATTAAAACATGAAAAATAAAACATGTAAATACTATATAATACAATAAAAATTGCATTTACTGGTCACATACACACTCCACTTCTGCATCTTAAGACAGATATATGATTTAATTATAACAGTTGTAAAAGTTAACATTTTATAACTCCTCCTTGGACAGCATGTTACTTTAATCAATCTCTAGCTTATCTTTCAATGATGTCAAACAAAAATATTTTGTACACTTATAATTATTTTACATTAGTAAACTTTAATTATAACTGAAGAATTTACATTGGTACCTTGATTTATGAGTTTTTTGATACAAGCTGTCTGTCGGCTGATTTTTTGCTTTGAGCTGAGAGCTAAACTTTGAGTCATGAGCTAGCTTCAGATACTGTACCGCTAGTTGGTACAGCAAACTACAGATTAAGAAAAAGATGGAAAGCTGCTATAATTTCCTCATTTTTGTTACTCTTCCAACATCTGACAAACTAGAGCTTATAGAAAAACACACATAGGCATTAGTTCATTTTCACCATCTCTCATTTCTCAAATTTTCCATCTTCTTTCTTTATCTATGTAGCAAATGATGCAATATCCACAAAACCAGTTTATTGCAGTACATTTTATTGTATTTTTATACAATATGTGTTATTTATAAGTGCAGTACATTTTACTTATTTATGAATTAAACTCATAAGTCAAGGTACCAATGTATCAGTCTTGGTCCAATAAAATTTTACTGTTAATAAACAAAAATAAAGTTGCTTGAGAAACTGTCATAAAAACTTTGCATATTTTTTTAAATAGTTGTTGTTTCTCTCATTTGTTTGGTACAAAAGGTTACAGTAAGCAAAAAAGTAACCTGCCTGGCAAATAAATTTTTATTTTGAAAAATAGATTGACAATTGCTATAAAAAAGCCAGGGTAACTCCTGCCATTAAGTAAAAAAAAAAAATTGGATTGAGTATCAAATTATGTTGCACTGAAAAATCATCAAAAAGCATGAACCATTTTTAAAAAACTTGTGACAAAATATGAATATTTTACAATAATGTTATTCAGAAAAAACAGTGTTGTAAATGAAGCACAATCTGCAGTTTCAACCCCAAAAGAGCTTTGAATTAAAAAAACACTGCTTTATGCATAAATTATATATATATTTATTTATGACTATCTCTATTTTGTGACCAGCAGAAAAATTCTCCAAAATGTTTCCATTGATTTAAATGCGACAGACCTCTATTTTGTAATTATTTGCACAAGTGTAGTCATGCAATTATTTCAAATGCAATTTCCTTCCTATATAAAGCTGCTTTCTTTGTTGTTTTCAGGCAGTGTTACATTAATACCTTTTGGAACTCCTACATACAGAAGATTGTGAGTCACTCTATACAATTTTACATCATCATGAATTAATATTTACTTGTAGCTTAGCATTATTTATAAATCATGATAAATTCATTTTTTAACATTAATGATAAAATTTTATTTATTATTATAGTTTATAAAATGATTTATGGTAAATATTTTCTTTTAAGTTAAAAATGCAAATACTTACTTCATGAGACATAGTTTGACTTCTATAATCATTAGCAGGAAGATTGTTTTCTCTACTTTGTGGACCACTGATCTCATTTCCTTGTTGTCCCTCTTGTTCACATAATTGTTGATCTGGTTGAGATTCATTAAGTTGGTCCTGAGAATTTTGTGAAATTTGATCATGGGCAACAGGCTGTGGTTGATTTTGTTGATGAATCTCAGCTTCTTCTCTTTGTTGGCGTTGTTCTTCTCTTGATGCCAGTTCTCTTTTTAACTGTTCAAGAGCTCTCTCTACCATTTTCTGGTATGTGCTTGAATCCACAGCTTTTGTACATCTCTAAAATACCCAATTATCAAAGTATTCTGCTTTATATTTATTAATTATATAATGTTTATTTTATTTAAATAAAAATTATTATTTAAATATCAGAATAGAGAGAGAAATATGAAGAAAACTATTTAAATGATTTTGAGGAAAATCATATTAGCTTTTCTTGTTAAAAATTTATAATTGTTTTATAAGAAATGAAAAATCAAAATGTTTCAATAAATAAAGAGAAATAAATTGCCAAACAATTTTATAAGTAGTTCAGATATTATTATTAATGAGAGCATGGTTGTTGTCTTACAGAAATAATTTCTCCAAGTTTATAAACTTATTAACTTAGAATTAAAAATTCATTATATACAATATATAACAAACACTTAACTTTTTTTTTTAAGCTACAGAAACCTTTCTGGCTCTATCTTGTATCAACAATATCAATAATATAGTTTCTTCTAAACTTAATTAATTCATTATATAATATATAAACTTATTATAAATAAAAACAAAACTTTTGTTCATATAAAAGATTAACTGTTTGTTAATATTTAAGAACTCCACATTAGGATATATTCCAGTGTGGAGTGGTGTGTATATTACTGTTTATTGATGCTGGCTAATGTATACTGTAAAACTGTGTTAGGCCTGACTAAGGCTATAGCTTGATTTGAATTCCCAATGGATTGTAAAAAGAACAGTGTGTTGCCTATGTCAGTTTTATAAATAGACATTAGTTCTGATAATGTTCCATTGGATAGCCGTTCAGTCGCACCTGAAAAACAACTATGATTTCCATGCTTAGGTCCAAGAATTGTAATTAATTTTAATTAAAAAACATCAAAGAATTTTTAAAATTATTTTTTATGTCTCCAAATACTTTAGATCATTTATTAAGCTTTGTAGAACCCATTTTTTTGACACAAGAGATTAGTGATTCATACATCTTGTTCAAAGAATTGTGGAAGTCCACATTGATTGACCAATTCTGTTACAACAATGACAAATGTTGAATTTTGGCTAACTTTGTTATGACGAACGGCTAAGACAAAAGACCAACGATAACAACTGGTGTGAATGTTTTACACACAAAGACAAATGATAAAAGCATCACTTTTTGTCATTTTTGTTGGCAATGTGAACGCAGCCTTAGTCATCAGAGATCTGATTATAATCTATTACTATATGTTTAATAAACTTTTTAATACAGTGGTGGAAAAATTTTTAAATTAAAGCTCTTAACAGATGGCACCANAAATTATATTTCGGAAGTTAATCTAGTATCAAAAACGTTACAATTCAGCACGACACATGTCCCGACACACAGTCCTCAGAAAAACACCACACAAAACAAGCAAAACTCTTTCTTTTTCTTGGGTTTATCTGGAGATGTCAGCTGCTTGGGCTATATTCTCTGATGACCTGAAGCAAAACACCACTCACAATGGGGGGGAGCCTTGTTCAAATACTAGTGTGTCCTCAAGTACCCCTCGACATGTGTCGTACTGAATCAGAACGTTTTTGATACTAGATTAACTTCCAAAATATAATTTTTTTTGCTTTTATATTTTTCAATATATTTATTTTGTTTGTGCAAAATAAAAAAATAATTTTTTACGATACAATATGGTCGCACCAGTACTGCCAGCTAAAACACACACACCAACAAAAATAATATTGGAGTAGCCCAAGACATAGCCAAATATTGCAGCACCACAGCACTAGTGAAAATTTGAATTTTCTGACTGGAATGCTTTTGGTTAACTGATGTTCTGGTTGATCGGTATTCAGATAATCAATGTTCTACTGTAATTGACTTAACTGACAGTTATATTAATCTTAATCTATTATTATGCAGCATAAACACCTCACATAATTAAATATATATATATAATCATAAAAGCATAAAAATATTGATAATTTATAATGACTAAATAATGTAACCACAAAAATGATGTTTTGTAATTCTTTACCTGATGCATTGTTAATGACTGAACCTGCCGTTTTAACACACTCATTCTAGCTGTTGTCACAACTGAACGGACATCAGGAACTACTGTATCACTAAATACTTCATTAATTAAACGATGATTTCTTAAATATCTCGCTGCAGCAACATGCTTTACAGAAAATTCATCAATATCTGAAAAATATAAATAAATTAATTTTTTTGGATAACTTTGAGTTAATAGACAACTCTACAACAGACTTAAGCTCTACACTATATCATGTAACATATAAAGATATATTATACAAACAATTATATTTAGATTTATTACCATTAATTAAATAATAAGAAAATGTATTTTAAAGTATTCTACAATAAATATACTCTAATTATTTATCTTCAAAATTACACACATATATATGCAGTAATATTAAATTATTTAAATCAGGCAGTCAAATATTGTTAGATTTCTTCTTGATTATTTACAGACTAAGTTAATTACTTTAAAATTTGTCTAGAGATAGAATGATTTGACATTTCATAAAAATTATAATACTTAGAATCAAATACAATTTTTTAAAATTAATTTTAAAAACTTCTATTAACTTGAATTATAAATGAGATGTATTAATTTCAAAAACAGCCAATTCCATAATTTAAAAATGATCTTGATGTATTTATTTATTTTTTTGCTTTTTTCAATGTTTATGTTATATGTTTGTAAACTAGCAAGAAAAAAAAAAAAAAAAGAATCTGGAGATTGGTTTCAAAATCAGCCATATTCTACATTTTAAAGATAATGGCTGTGGAGCCATTATGTTTCAAACATAGAATTGGAAGAAAAAGTAGACTTACGAGGGCTGTTCGGAAAGTTCGCGGCCCTGCCTATAGGCAAGGCCAGAAAAACCCACAGGATTTCTTGCATCGGTTTGTGACTACTGACGAAACGTGGATCCATTACTACACTCTTGAAACAAAAGAACAGTCAAAGCAATGGAAACACCACAGTTCGCCACCACCAAAGAAGGCAAAGGCAGTTCCATCAACAGGGAAAGTGATGGCCTCGGTTTTTTGGGATGCTAAAGGCATCATCATTATTGACCACTATTTGTGGTGCTGCGATCAATTTAATTTTTGGCGGGAATAATTCAGCCATCTGTGCTAGAGATACAATACCAATTTCTGCTTGATTTGTCAAAAAGTTTTGCCACGACAGCTTAGCAGATAGTCAGTGCGCACATGCTTTGTCAAAAATGGAAAAGACGGAGACTCGTGCGGTCATAAAATACCTGACGAAAAAAGGGTTGACCGCATCTCAAATCAAAGCTGACATGGATGAAGTTTTGGGAGAGTCTGCTCCTTCGTACACCACTGTGAAAAAATGGACAGCCCTTTTTAAATCTGGCAGAGAGAGTGTGGAAGATGACCCTCGCAGCGGACGGCCGTCAACTGCTGTCACTGAAGAAAACATCGACAAAGTTCACGATTTGGTATTAGCAGATCGCCGTTTGAAAACGCGTGAGATAGCTGAGACAACAGGCATCTCTGTCGACCGAGTGCACCACATCCTAACCGAAGATTTGGGTATGACGAAGGTCTCAGCAAGGTGGGTGCCGCATCTGCTGACCGCCGAGCAAAAACGTGTTCGCACTTTGATGTCAAAGGAGTGTTTGGACTTCTACCAGAAAAACCCACAGGATTTCTTGCGTCGGTTTGTGACTACTGACGAAACGTGGATCCATTACTACACTCCTGAAACAAAAGAACAGTCGAAGCAATGGAAACACCACAGTTCGCCACCACCAAAGAAGGCAAAGACAGTTCCATCAGCGGGTAAAGTGATGGCCTCGGTTTTTTGGGATGCTAAAGGCATCATCTTTATTGACTACCTAGAAAGAGGAAAGACCATTAATGCTGTCTATTACTGTGAACTTTTGGAAAAATTGAAGAAAGAAATCAAAGAAAAAAGGTCACACTTGAAGAAGAAAAAGGTTCTGTTCCACCACGATAATGCACATGCAGATTCCGCTAGAATCACTGAACAAAAGATAAACGAACTTTGCTTCCAATTAGTTCCACATCCACCGTACTCAACTGATTTGGCCCCTAGCGACTTCCACTTTTTTCCAAACCTAAAAAAATTCTTGGCTGGAAAGAGATTCCACTCAAATGACAAAGTCATCTCTGAAGTGAACGAGTATTTTGCACACCTTGACAAATTGCCCTATTATGACGGCATAAAAAAAGCTAGAACATCGCTGGAATAAGTGCATTGCTAACAAAGGAGCCTACATTGAAAAATAAAAAAAGTTTTAACATTATTTTGTTTGTTGTTGTATTTGAGGCCGCAAACTTTCCGAACAGCCCTCGTAGCTAGTTTTGAAACTGTACATCTCATGATTTCATCCTTTTTCTGATAAATTTCAAACATTATTCTAAATTTGTTTTAAAATATTTTTCTCTCAATTTCCATTCAGAAAAAAGAACTTTCTTTATCTTTGGAAATAAAAAAAAAAAAAAACTACAAAGTTCAGATCAGGAGAATTTGGAAGGCAATGAATCACTGACCTGTTGTTTTGCAAAAAACTGCAAGACAATCATGGCTGTGCATATGCAGGTGCATTGTAATGCAGGAAACTCAATTTCTAGAAGTCCTCAAATCATGCCTGATGTGTCCTAATCATTTAAGAAGTCATTGCAAAACTTTAAATAAAATGCCAACTTTACAGTTTGGTCAGGTGACCAAGTTATTGTGAACCAACCCTCAGTAACTGAAAAATGTAATGGGCATTGTCTTCACCTTGATTTTTGTTCATTTTGGGCTCACCCAAAATCAACAAAAATCCGCAGATGATGACCGTTTTGTTTGCAGATCATACATGAAACACCATGTTTCACCAATTTGCATAATCATTCCTAAAAATACTGAGTCTCTGTCTAAGCTTCAACAAAATCATGACAATTCACATAAATTTCCTTCTGTTCTAAGGTCTAAAAATGCAAGACAAAGCATGTGAAAATCATTACACAAAAGTGTCCTTACCAATATTTAAATGTTCAGCTACTGCATGAAGAGTTGGGGCAGGTGTCATCAGTGAGGAGTAGAGATAACCTGATATCACAAAAAGTATTGATACCAGTATCACAAGTAGTTTTAAAGTATCAATATTGATGCCAACCAGTATTGGAATTGAGTATTGAAACTGTGCTGACTATCGCTGTTCAGTCTGTCATGTTGCCTTCTAGTTGTTTTTACTGCTAAAAAGGCAATGCACTCAATACAATAGAGACTGAATGGGCCCAGAGCAGCAATTAATATTTTGTTGCTTACTGCAGAGAACTGAATCCCTGACATCTGGTTCAGAAGTCAGTGCACCAGTCAGTACTTTACTTATGTATGATGCCTACACAAAAAAAGCCCAGATCTATCTGTTAATGGGCTCTGTGGGCACTACTATATGTGGGATAGGGATGTATAGGAAATTATTAATGAAGAGGTACAATAAAGAACTTTTTCTTTATTGCATTCAAATTTTACAAATGTCAGTGTAAACAAGTACAAATTATAGCTTATTTTAATCATCACTAATGATCCTAGTTGATTAACAAACAAAAGTGCTGCATAATGTTTACTAAATATTTATTTCTAAATAAGAATGAGCAATTATTTATTGTGACAGCATCACCACAATGCTGGACTACAATTTTTAATCATATTTTTAATTTACTTAATTTAAAATATATGTTCTCTCCCTCAAATTAGTACTGGTTTGCCACTGCATATAAAAATTTTCCTTTAACAATAGAGTTGTGCAAGTCATCTATCTAACACTTTTCAGGAGAAAAATTTTTGAACTGAAACAACATGTCTTCCAGTTTGCACCAGAAGTTCATATATAGTTAATCAGGGCCTCCCGGTCCATATATAATCTCAGCTTTCAACTATCTAATTCCATTCTCGAGATTAAGGAAAGACAGTCGGACAACAACAGTGGGAATTTATAGGTCTACAATTTTTTCAACTTGCAGTCCAATTAGAACTCTAAGTGTAATTAGATTCTGGAAATGAAATTTAACATAATACACTTATTGATTTTTTATCATTAATATTTTTATATAAGTTTAACTTAACCAAAAATAATTTATTTTGGTAACCATAAAATTTTACTTTCTGATTCAATGCAAAATTCAGTTTCGGTCAGATCTTACCTGTTTTTGAAAAATGAAATGATACCAAATCCAATATCTGAGGAAATGTATTGATACATCACCATAGTATTGGCACTAGACCAAAAGTACCGAGTACAAAAATACCTATTATCGAAGGAAAGTATCAATATGGTATTATGGTATTAGCATCAGCAATATCTAGATGTCCCTAGTGAAGAGAAAGTACATAATCTACACTATTTTATTCATTCAAACTATCTAAGGGCTACTTTTCCCTCATTCTCTTCTAGCAATTACTGGCCATTCTTGAAATGCTTTCACCGATCAATTATCATATGTGATAGTACAATCCATTCTGCATGCTTCTTTCATAAATTCTTGCTCCCCATATTTTTGCAAAACTTGTAACAGAATTTTAGACATACTCACTATTCCATTGAAAACTGGAACCATACACACAAACATGCAAAGTGAAACATGTTAACTATTGTAAAACTTATGTACACTGGAACTGCATGGTACTGAATTTTTTTCCCATTTCGGTAGGTTACTATTTTTAACAGGTTTCAATATTCTTTTTATCTTATTTTTTTTATCTTTTGATCTAAGATATTCTGTGATCTGACTTCTCAAGGAATATTACTTTAATTAATCATTAACTTCAATCTCTCTAATTACCAGCAATGTTAATGAAGTTGTTCTTGAATACTAGTCAGTTATTAATTAATTACTCCATACATGGAAATTGGCAGCAGTATGTTACCTTATTGTCATTATTTTCAGTGAATTACATTCATTGCTTATTCTCAAGAACTTGGTTCCTAGAAACACATTTGACTCTTGAAAACTGTCAACTCTTAAAAGTATTCAATGTTGTCCCTTGTGAAATGATAAAGGGACTTGTGGACTTTGTATTTCTCCTCTTTGTAACCTCAATTTCTTTGAAAAGATTTGAAATTGTTTTCAATATACAGTTTATTATGCTCTGCTGTGAACATAACTGGAAGTGATTTTACTTATTTGTTTACAATGAAATCAATGGAATCTTAATTTTCTGCTTTATCTATATATATAATCGAGATGAGTTGATAATAATAATAATAATAATAATAAATTTCAAATTGAAATTAGTAGTGTAATTAATCTAAAATTACATAATTTTTAAAAGCATTTTCAATTATTTCTAATAGATAATATATTTTGCATACATAATAAATGTCTTTTGCACATTTTTTATTAAAATATATGAAACACAGTATTGAAATTAACATTTATTTAAAATAACAACAATTGATAAAATTACTTAGTACATTACAGTACTTATTAAAACAATTTTTCTTCATTTCATCAACAGATTTATCTAATTAAATTTTTTCAAAACAATTAAAACAGATATATAAAATAATATCCCAGTCTACACAAATTTATATAGGTAAGATGCTTCCTAATTAAGAGATAAACTAAATCTACTTTTCAAAAAATAGGCATGGACAAACTATGTTTGAGGGGGTGAAACCTACCAACACAGTGAAGTGCGTAGAATTCAATTAGAGAATTAGAAATTAAGAAATTGGATTACTTACAGTTCTCTTCATCTTAACTAGAATTATTGACGAAGGATCCCTGCTTAAAGTGCATTGTAAGGAACCAAGTCCGAGCATTATTTTTATTCACTTTTATTTTTGCTTTTTATTATATTTTTGTTTGAGGCTTATGTTTTGTTAGGACGAAGGTTTCCACACCATTCACCTTAGAAACTAAAAATAGAAGAGAAACCAACTCACCAACGAGAGAAAAGCGCCATAAGGAAAAAAACTCACGCACACTTGCATTCCCAAGCGGAAAAAAGCAAGTCCGCACCGAGAAAAAGGGGAGGGAGAAGACCCCACAAGCACAACTTAAATTCGCTAAACCTTAAAAGAATANTACGTAACAATGGAATTGTTAAGAGAAAGCGACGTGCAATACGCAGATGCAGTTTTTTTCGTATTGCGGGAAATCGAACATATTTTTAGACCCATCTAAAAATTTTCTAATTAGTCTGGAAACAAGGGGACCCGAATCTTGCATTCTGTGAAAACGGGTAAGGTTGACTGTAACGTAATAACCTTTATCTTAGTTATCGTTACTTTTGCCCAAGCAATGCCGGGCCCACCTGCTAGTTCAAAATAAATTATATTCTTTAAACCTAAAAATCTCTTCCGTTTGAGTTAGACATATTTCTGGTTTATAGCAAAATTTAATATAGAAAACTATTCTGTTTCAAAGAATTTTTTCTTTTAAGGTATATTCCATTTTAGACAATTTTACTGTAAGCTGGTACTGATGAAACTTGCACATGTTGGGCAAAGATTTCATACAAATTATTCCAGTTATCAGTTAACAGAGCAACTTGTCTTTCCAGGAAAAATTCAGTCTGAGAACTTTCACACAAATTATGTATAAAATATGGCTAAATGAAAACAAATTTCCAATACTAGCCTTAGTTCTAATTAACTAGTTAATAACAATTAGTTTTTATATTAGTGATATACAGTTTAGATAAAAAACTTTCAAGAAAAACAATAGAAAAATTTTATTTGTATGCAAATAATGATTTCTTTTAAAATAATTATCATAACTATTTATAATAGCACTCAATACTACCTTTAGAATATCCTTAAACATCAAAGCTAGTCTTTTTTCCTTATAATTAATTCCATTTAAGCTGTTAAGATTTTCTAATATTTATTGTCATCAATTTATTTCATTCAATTCAGTTCATTAATTTTTTCAAGTAATATTTTTAAATTATTGAAACATTGAAGTTTGAAGTAGGTAATTTTAACCTCATAAAATAACCAAACCAGATATAAAGAAAATGTGCAAATAATAAAACGTGTAACCAAAATATTTCAAAAGAACATTAAAAAAAACAAAAGTAAATATTTAGGGCTAATGAAACTTGTTTTAAAAACATTATAACTTATTTATTCTTTTTGAAAAAATATGCTAAATATGAAACTGAATGCTGTTCCAAGTTTTATTAGTATGTTGGGTTTGTTGGGTTTAGTGGGTTATATTCGGTTCACACCGGGGGCTGTGTACTATGCCGGACCAAAGTCAAGGCATAGCACCAAAACAAAACTAAAATTAAATAAGTGTGTCAGTGTGTGTGTCTATATTAAGGAATTTCCTAACAATGTGGCATGTATTCAATATAGTGGCCTTCTGTAGTGTGATGTATGTATTTCTACTCAATTGTAGCATTGGACATTAACAGCATTGGACAAAAGAGAAGACCAATAAGTTATTATTATTATTAGGAAAAAGCATATAAACTTTGTTCTCACAAGTATTAATACTATTAAATTATAACTTTTTTGTTGTATTAAAATAAACTTAATATTTACCCATAACTTAAAAAAACAACACTGAAACATTCTTAACTTTTCACATTGATTTTACAGTATTTTTGTCAAAGTTTTTGGTTTTCTGACATTACTATATTAATCACATAGAATTATTCAACTAATAAATGTTTACATGCATAAACATAATCGTAACATGAAATCTCAGAAAAAATATGCAAAAATCAACAAACAATTATTTTGATTGTTATTGTTTTTAGTTTACACAGATGATGATAAACAAATTTTTATAAAAATACTTTAATTCTTTAAAAAAAAGTAACTCATTTTCNAATAATGTAAAAGGTTAGCGAGTATTGTCAGAAAATAGGCTGCCAGACAAATAGAAAAGTTTATTGTTAGCAAATAAGTATGTAAATGAGGGGAGTGATTGTATTCAGAATAATAACGTCACCTCACAGTATAAAGATTGAATGTCAAGTGAAGACGGACAAGGTGCACGAGCTTGGTGAGCTTCGTAGCAGTGAATGAGAGGTATCCGATAGGATCAAATAGTTCCAAGGCAATTTTGAAGTTATTTGATTTGTGGATCAACGAATAGAGAAAGTCTTGATAGTTGAGGAAATAGGTTCCTAGTATATTGAGGTAACGATTAGGATCTTTAATTCATAAGAAATATTGTATATAAGTTAAGTCTTTGAATTTTGTCGACTTCCAAAGAGGAATAGATTTAAGTTAGAAACTAGATTGATTTGAGTTTTGTCTGGTTGATTCTTATTGATTTTCACTGAATAAATTGTTTGATTTTTACTAAAATTTGTAAATAGTTATTATTAGAATTATTTATTAAATATTTGATTTTGTTATTGACAAACTTGGTCATTTAATTTGGTGCACGCTAAAAGTCCAGGCCTGGCACATTAATGCGAATCCGCGTAAAGTACCCGTTAGGTAACGGCTATTTCCGGCACACAGTCGTGTCAATAATCGTTGTAGAGGGCGGAAAAATAATATAGTATTTTACAGCATGGCATCCAAAAATCATGCCATGCTGAAAGTCACTGAGCTCTTTTCCACATTGCACTTTGGCAAGTACTAACCTCCAGAAGTCTGCAAAGTTATGCAAATGACAATGGCAAATGGCAACTCATCTAACCACAACATGAGCAAAAGGAAACTTTTTGTGCCCTTCATCAATATGTAAATAACACTTGTCCCTTTTTATAAGTGTCCAAATACTTTTGTTCACATAGTGTGTATAGCAAGCATTCTAGTTGTCATACTAATAAAGGAGATGGCCATGTTCAAAGCAAAATTGTGGAGGGAAATTTTGTAAACACCTAATTTTTCCAGGACTGATGTCAGGTCTCTATTGTTAAAAATACAAATACTTGCAGAATTCAATGGCTGCTTAAAAAGGAGCATAATGCTCCCGGAGGAAACATTGTAAACGGAATTGTCATGAATGAAATAAAATATAAATAACACAACACCGATCTTTTATTATTGTAATAAAAGTACTCGAATGATTTATGCTCCAGCCCCCAACACATATATGTATAAATTATATCATTTCAATAATTAAAACTGTATATAAGTATTTGTAATAGCTTTTTTACATAAATATACCTTATAATGCATTTTTTTTGCAAATTAAGAACCACAGAACCAATTTCTGGTGTGAATAAATGAAAAACGATCTCTGCACAAATGTTTTCTAACTCCTACTACGTTCTTCTTTAGATTACCCAATGAAATGTCCTTTAGAACAAACTTGAATTTACAAAAGTTTTTAAAAGAACATTTTTTAAAAATCAGGAGTTAGAAAATGTTTATGCAGAGATCATTTTTCATTTATACAGTCCAGTAATTGATTCTGTGGTTCTTCTTACATATATCCTGGTATGGTGTGATGTAATTTATTTTTTGTAAAATTTCCTTAATTCAGAGCTGCCTGTTCTTTAATTAAGATTACCTTGTATTCGCCATTAAAATATCAAAAATAGAACTCATCATTAACAATAATGAATATTTAAATACAAATGATATTGAAATGATGAAAAATAATTGTACAGTAGAGAGTCGATTATCCTAAACAATTCAGGACTCGCATTGTTTGGATAATTGATCATGTATGAAAAAATATATTAACCTATCCCACGTTGAAATCTTTCTCTGTCGCGTGTCGCTTCACGTTGAATTTTCATCAATATTAAGCCAAATGAAAATTTTAAAAATAATAATAATAATTGTGTCTATTGTATCGTTAAAAATCATTTCTTTATTTTGCACAAACAAAATAAATATATTGAAAAACATAAAAACAACAAAAAAAAAATTATATTTCGGAAGTTAATCTAGTATCAAAAACGTTACAATTCAGCACGACACATGTCCCGACACACAGTCCTCAGAAAAACACCACACAAAACAAGCAAAACTCTTTCTTTTTCTTGGGTTTATCTGGAGATGTCAGCTGCTTGGGCTATATTCTCTGATGACCTGAAGCAAAACACCACTCACAATGGGGGGGAGCCTTGTTCAAATACTAGTGTGTCCTCAAGTACCCCTCGACATGTGTCGTACTGAATCAGAACGTTTTTGATACTAGATTAACTTCCAAAATATAATTTTTTTTGCTTTTATATTTTTCAATATATTTATTTTGTTTGTGCAAAATAAAAAAATAATTTTTTACGATACAATATGGTCGCACCAGTACTGCCAGCTAAAACACACACACCAACAAAAATAATATTGGAGTAGCCCAAGACATAGCCAAATATTGCAGCACCACAGCACTAGTGAAAATTTGAATTTTCTGACTGGAATGCTTTTGGTTAACTGATGTTCTGGTTGATCGGTATTCAGATAATCAATGTTCTACTGTAATTGACTTAACTGACAGTTATATTAATCTTAATCTATTATTATGCAGCATAAACACCTCACATAATTAAATATATATATATAATCATAAAAGCATAAAAATATTGATAATTTATAATGACTAAATAATGTAACCACAAAAATGATGTTTTGTAATTCTTTACCTGATGCATTGTTAATGACTGAACCTGCCGTTTTAACACACTCATTCTAGCTGTTGTCACAACTGAACGGACATCAGGAACTACTGTATCACTAAATACTTCATTAATTAAACGATGATTTCTTAAATATCTCGCTGCAGCAACATGCTTTACAGAAAATTCATCAATATCTGAAAAATATAAATAAATTAATTTTTTTGGATAACTTTGAGTTAATAGACAACTCTACAACAGACTTAAGCTCTACACTATATCATGTAACATATAAAGATATATTATACAAACAATTATATTTAGATTTATTACCATTAATTAAATAATAAGAAAATGTATTTTAAAGTATTCTACAATAAATATACTCTAATTATTTATCTTCAAAATTACACACATATATATGCAGTAATATTAAATTATTTAAATCAGGCAGTCAAATATTGTTAGATTTCTTCTTGATTATTTACAGACTAAGTTAATTACTTTAAAATTTGTCTAGAGATAGAATGATTTGACATTTCATAAAAATTATAATACTTAGAATCAAATACAATTTTTTAAAATTAATTTTAAAAACTTCTATTAACTTGAATTATAAATGAGATGTATTAATTTCAAAAACAGCCAATTCCATAATTTAAAAATGATCTTGATGTATTTATTTATTTTTTTGCTTTTTTCAATGTTTATGTTATATGTTTGTAAACTAGCAAGAAAAAAAAAAAAAAAAGAATCTGGAGATTGGTTTCAAAATCAGCCATATTCTACATTTTAAAGATAATGGCTGTGGAGCCATTATGTTTCAAACATAGAATTGGAAGAAAAAGTAGACTTACGAGGGCTGTTCGGAAAGTTCGCGGCCCTGCCTATAGGCAAGGCCAGAAAAACCCACAGGATTTCTTGCATCAGTTTGTGACTACTGACGAAACGTGGATCCATTACTACACTCTTGAAACAAAAGAACAGTCAAAGCAATGGAAACACCACAGTTCGCCACCACCAAAGAAGGCAAAGGCAGTTCCATCAACAGGGAAAGTGATGGCCTCGGTTTTTTGGGATGCTAAAGGCATCATCATTATTGACCACTATTTGTGGTGCTGCGATCAATTTAATTTTTGGCAGGAATAATTCAGCCATCTGTGCTAGAGATACAATACCAATTTCTGCTTGATTTGTCAAAAAGTTTTGCCACGACAGCTTAGCAGATAGTCAGTGCGCACATGCTTTGTCAAAAATGGAAAAGACGGAGACTCGTGCGGTCATAAAATACAGGCCTACCTCGACTTACGTCGTTTCGAGTTACGTCGTTCCCGATTATACGTCGCTTGTTAAAAAAGTATATGGAAAAATAAAAATCAGGTTTAAGTCATTTTATTCGACTTTACGTCTGTCCGCCACAAATATTGAAGT